TCTCACCATGTGGTTTGATTTATATTACACACTAGAGCTGCTCTATTACATGATGAAATATATAGCTAATATACATTTTTTGAGTAATTATCTAGTTTTTTTGTAATGACATGGAATTAAACTAGATAAAACTAAACTTTGAAAAGAAGTTTGGGTTGGTAGCGAACCAAGCTCAAATCCCTTGTTCACACTTGCATGCGTTAGTGTTGCAACCGCAAGTAACGCACATCTACTCCACATGTCTACCTTATCCACTAGGACCACCCTGGCCATTTATCAATCAAAATAATGAAATGGTGAGCGAGGACCACGGTGGGAAGATTCACCAAATCTCGGTGATGCAACAAACCTCCTAGCCATCCATCTCCCTAGTGCTTGTGATCCAATTGAGGCCACTGCGGTTCGTCTAAATTTGCCACTAAACCAGTGCTAGTACAAATGCGGTGATGTTGGATCCAAACCACTATTGTGGCAGTAGTGAGAGCTTAATTTTTAGAGGTGGATTTCCTTTGAAAGATTTAGGGATCAATTTTTTTGATTTTATGTCTTAATCAGGGGTTTGCTTTTTGTATGTGTTCTCCTTGTGGAGTTAGGGTTCAATTTGCTTTGCTATTTATTTAGGTTAATTGGGGAATTATTTTTTTGTATGTGTTCTCTTATGGATCTACATTGAATCCACTGCACTTTGCTTTCTATCCCAATTTTTTCTTTGGAAAAACTCAAATTAATGTTAGGGTTTTCTCAAATATTTTGTTCAAAGATATTGTAAAAACTTTTTCTCGAGAGCTTGAGAAAAGTTAATTCTCACAACATTTGCTCAAAAGTTTCTCCTAAATGTAATTTCTCAAGAATTTTGCTTACAAGTTTTTTATCCTTCCATTGTTTGTCAAAGAAATTAAGAGTTGATTTGCATTTTACTTGAATTTCATAAGGAAGAGAGGGGGCAATCTTTCTAGAAATGATAAAAGGAAGGGATAAATTGTTTGATGCTTTATAGGAATGAAATCATCGCAACTATTTTGTTGGTATAGGGATGTGTGAGGCTAAGGTAATGCACTAGTGTGTATAACATCCCTGCAAAACTATGTAGGATCGAACTCACATGCACGAGAGTAGTGAGGTGGTCATTTCACAGTGGATCTTATAGAGGCATCGATAACTTCATTAGGAAAAGCAAGGACCGGTGAGAAAGAATGTAGAGCAATGTATAGGCGTCATTTAGGAAGAAATCTAGTGTTGCAGGCTATCTTGTGTTGCTGCTTCCAATTGTGTACGAGTGTAGTATACAATTTAATAACCAAACATCATTATATTTATGAAAATTGTGTATGTTATGTGCACTTTGTTCCCACTATGTTAAGCTAGATGTGCTCTATAAAGGATCAACACTAAGTGTATACCGGATAAATCAAATACGAAATTATGGTTGAAACAATCATTTTTTTGCAATAAAATTAGCCAAACAACATATCTTGTTCAGAATATTATAACTCTCTTTTTGGCTCCTTCCCACTCTAAGATGAACTATTGCATCTAGATCACAACTATTGTACCCGTAAGATGCACTACTGATGTACTAGTAGGGATGAAAGCTGAACGGTTGGAAAACACTATAAAGCGAGCCTAAGTATATTAAATCAAATACGAAATTATGGTTGAAACAATCATTTTTTTGCAATAAAATTAGCCAAACAACATATCTTGTTCAGAATATTATAACTCTCTATTTTAGCTCTAAGATGAACTATTGCATCTAGATCACAACTATTGTAGTAAGATGCAACCATGTATATTGAAGTATGCAGTGGGATGTCCAAATTTATGAACACTAGGACAGTTATGTTTGAAAAACATGAGTAAGTCCTAACCATTCCGCTATTTATATGCTAATTTTAACGAAATGAGAAATTAATTGTCATGAAATACTAGTCTAAATGCCGAGACTTGTAAAGATAAATTATCTGGGATGTCGGTTCAATGAAAGCGTAATACATTTCGATCGGGAAAAAAGTCAATAACGATCGGAGAATCGGTAATCCAAATCGGGAGCGTCGGCCTTTTACATAACCACTTCAACCATTCAACTTAACACCAAGGTTACAACCATGTATAATACATAGGCAAAATGTACGTTGGTAAGTATATAACACTACAAATAAGTCCACCAATTTATGAACACTAGTGACTTGTTATGTTTGTGTTGCACATATTCATGCATGAGTAAGTGACCTATGCTTTTTACGTGGCATATGCTAATAAAACAACAGCAGTGAGTCAACTTTTTTTTGTCATGAAATGCTTCACAAACTATATGCTAAATGATTTGATGTCGTAAGAATCCTTATTGATGTGATGGAAAGCAACCACCACTGCATGCTGATGAACTCAGAGATAAGTCAAGTATGCATGTGCGCTTTTTTTCTTTACAAGTCTCTCAATTAGTTTTTTGAAGTATTTCATGACAATTAAAAAGTTGACTCACTGCTGTTGTTTTATTAGCATATGCCACGCAAAAAATCATAGGTCACTTACTCATGCATGAATATGTGCAACACAAACATAACAAGTCACTAGTGTTCATAAATTGGTGGACTTATTTGTAGTGTTATATACTTACCAACGTTACATTTTGCCTATGTATTATACATGGTTGTAACCTTGGTGTTAAGTTGAATGGTTGAAGTGGTTATGCGCGCCGACGCTCCCGATTTGATTACCGATTCTCGATCGTTATTGACTTTTTTCCCGATCAAATGTATTGTTTCCGACCTCCCAGATTTCCGATTTCGCTTCCCGACGGCCTTCCCCTGACTGCTGCTACCAGCTACCTATCAGCTGGTCAATACAAGAGCGGAATGGTTAGAGTGTTTTTCCGACCGTTCCCGACCGCTTTCATCCCTATCTAGAGAGCCACAGGAGCGCTCCTTGGTGTGTGACACGAGCTGAAGTAATAATACAAAATAAAATTTATACGGGAATTAAATGGGGAAAACGGGATTTTTTCCGTTAAAAAATAGGATCCGTGAATTCGGTCGGGAAACAAGCCCAACCGATTCCGTTCCCGTTTCCTGCCAAATTTTCCTGTTTTTTGCCGGATTTATTCGGTTACCGACAATCTGGTGTCCGGTCGGGATAATACGGCATTCGGTGCCGATCGGGACGGAAAATTCCCGTCCCGTTTTCATCCCAAGCAGGTAGATAAACCTTGAGGTTTTCAACCAAGTTTTTGTGGTTATCTAGATCCATGCCGGTGATGGCAAGTGCCACCTCCAAGCATGCGACAAGCCAACCACTGTAGGGTGCATCTCAACATCCTCATCCTTCAAATCAGGGACATAGACTTCGGTTGTGTCTCTGACGTCAATCTCTAACTCTATGGCAGAGTCGTTGATGTATAGGACATCGTCGGTTTTCCAGCGAAGGCCACTGCGGTCTCTATTCTACACTCCACCATATCCAGAGGACTTGAAAGGATCGATGTCTAAGAGGGGGGATGAATTAGGTCACTTAAAAACTAATGACCTCTAAAACCTACTTATCAAAACATATGCAAGATATTATCTGAATGTGTAACTAGGTTTTGGTAAGTGTTGTATCTCTACCACAAAAGAGTTAAGCAACTTAGGTTCCAATCCTATCAGTGATAGTCATTGTTCTTACATCATGTCACATTCTTCGACTCGTCCTTGCAAATAAGGAGGTGATTAAGCTCATTATTAAGATAGTTGTTGATATGATGGGCCTGTTTGGTACAACTTATAAATTGTTTATGGTCAAAATAAACCAAGTCAAACAACATACTTTTTGCAGCTTTTCTGGCCATAATTCTCCTCACAGCTCCTATTTGTCCTAAAACACAGAAAGCAGACCAGACCAACTTATTTTGGTAGTGTTTTTTCCTTCATTTGCGCAACTCCTTAGGGAAGTGCTTCTCCCCATAGCCAAACATGACCGTTATCTAGGCCATCTCCCTCATCAACTTGGAAAGTAGTAATTAGTTAGAAAATAAAAATAAAAAATACATATTGGGCATATATGTACAATCATAAGTTAGATAAATTCAAATTGTTCTATCTAGTCTTTTATAATATGTTTCATAGGTTTAATATTGAACGTTAGATGACCATACAATCTAATCTATCCGGTTAAACTGTTTTTTTATTAATCTTGTAATTTCTAAACCTCCTTTTGGCAACATATGACAAAGTATTTTCATGTTCTAACTCAGAAAAACACCAATTCATCAATACTCTGCATCCAAATAGGAATTGAAATTTGGAGGCTTGTTAAAGTCTAGCAAGCAATCTCTAGCGCCATCCAAACATCCTCCATATTAGAATCACACAACATTTCCAATACAGCTGTGTTTGGAATTGGGCCTCCATTTCTATGAACACAATTCAATCCAAACGGAGCCTGAATAGAGTTGGGCAGGGCGGGCCCAGGCCTAGGGCCAGCAGGCCCATGGTCCTAGTCGCGGCCCAAATTTGTTAGGAACAGGTCTTCAGTTTCGCCCAACAACGAACAGCCCAATAAAAAGGAGAGTAGGGAAGACCACGGAATCACTCGATTGCTCATGCCGTCGCGCGCTGCTCGCGGCTCTTCCGCCTCCCGCTCGTATCACGCGCCGCTGCTCCCGCCTCCCGGTCGCACCTCGCACTCGTCGGCGCCGTCGCGGCGGCACCCAGCCCGCTCGGCCCCGCGGCCTCTTAGCAAAATCCTGGTTCCGCCGGGTAGCTGAGCTTCAAAATTCCGCCATCAGGTCGGGCGACACCGCGGGTCCAGGGGGCAAGACACGACTCGAACCCACCAAAAACCCTCGCCTCACTTGTCCCCTCGCCTCGCTGCGTCCTCCCTAGCTGCGGCGCGTCACTAGGACACGGAGATCCAGCGGCGATTCCGGCGATGGAGTACGTGAACCCTCTCACCGGCTTCCGCGTCGACGGCCGACGCCCCAACGAGGTGATGCCTCCTCCCCCGCTTTCCCCCTCGCGCGGTTCATGCGCCCAACCCTATCTCACCCGGCGTTTGACGTCAAGCAGATGCGGCAACTCAAGGGCGAGGTCGGCGTCGTTGCGCGCGCGGACGGGTGAGTAAGGTTCCCCTCCTCCGATGAACGAGAGCGAAACGAATGACTATTCGATTAGGATTGCCGACGGCGGTACGGCGCTCGCTTTTGATCGTTTCTGCTGTTTTTGTTGTTGTTGTTGTTGCTCTGTGCAGGTCGGCGCTGTTCGAGATGGGCAACACCAGAGTCATTGCCGCCGTCTACGGCCCTCGAGAGGTGATTCCCCTGATCCTATTTGTGTATCTCGGCGTGCATGTGTGAATCGTGATGCATAGGTCATGTGCACCACGTGTTCGAGGAAATGTCTCTCAGAAGCCTACATTTAGTCGTGTTCTGTTTGGTCTATAGTTGAATTCTCTGAGCCAACCTGACCTTAGTTTATTCTTCAGGGGTCTTTTTCAGTGAAGTGGGGATCATATGGAAAAACTAGTCTATTGTTTACATTCTCTATATGCATGAAGAGTGTTTGAAAACCACTAGGATCCACAATGGCCTCTGGACAGTAAAACATTATTTGTTTATACACACTGTTCTTTCTTGAGATATACTGGAGAACTTTTATGGAAATTTCAATCACTCGCGTTCTTTCCTTACTGTCATACTACAACACCAGGGAACCCTGAGAGTCATAGGGCTTAACCTTCTATTGCTTTCGTACCTCCTTATTTTCTTCTTCCCGTTGTCAGGAAGAGCAATTTACTTTTCAGTGTAACCAAATAACTAAAAGTTCATGCTCTTGGATTGTTCATTCAGGTTCAGAACAAAGGTCAGCAAGTAAACATCAACGAGGCTTTGGTAAAGTTTCACTGCCCAAGTGCATTCTTTAGAGGTTGTCCTTTCTGATGTGTTCCTGAGAGTGTTCTGTATGCAGGTTCGTTGTGAGTATAGGATGGCAGAATTTAGTACAGGAGATCGGAGGAGAAAACCGAAGGGTGACAGGTACATTCCAACTTGAACACAGTAAAATTTGATTAAAAAGAACAGCCCAGTCCTTGGGCATTCGCAGCTTCTGGTTCATTTACTATCAGAATAGATTTCTGACGTGGCAAATGTGTATTATTTTTCTCTCTACCTTATCAACAAGCTTCTTTTCCGTGCATCCTGTGTTTTCAAAATCACAATTGACTTTCCCAATAGAGTAAAGAATCCTCAGTAAGCGTATTGCTGTCAGATGTTTTTATGGATGGCTTTGTTGGCTGCACATGCCAATGTCGCTAGAAGCCTGACATGTCCAGCCCATCGCAGCAGCGCCCACAGATGCAACAGAGGATTAGCGATGGGATTAGTTGGTTTGTTTTGTTTCTTCAGAGGAAAATTAGCTTGTTTGGTAGTCAGTTTGTTAGATTGGTTTCTTAGGCACTGAGCTCTCAAAGGCATTGGCTATTGAATTTAGCAAGCAAACAGTTGTCCCTAATTCATCTAACCTGGCCTCCACCTCTTGAGAGGGTGAACTTGCCTCCACCTCTTTGCCTAATTCCCCAATTCCCAGGCATATTGGTAATATAAGTTGTAATTCAGTGCCTTGATCTTATTCTTTTTCTTAGTTCCTTTCTCCGCTTGTTCCTTTTTTTGTTCCTTTGTGTTTGTACTTATGAACTTTTCTCTCTATATTCTAATATGTTATAATCATCAGGGGCGTGCCCCTCCTGTTGTCCATTAAAAAAAAGTAGGTCATGGTTAAGATCAGAAATTTCATGAGTAGCATCCAGCGTAACAAACAGTGCTGCATTGCTGCAGTACAATTTAGTTGACTTGCTTTATTTGCTGTTGGGGTGAACACCCAATGCGCAAAATAGATATAAGTTGCATGAACTAAAGTAGCGAACTAAAGTGGATTTAGCTTGAAGGTACATGGTGTTTCATTTCCCATATAACTATGATAGTGAACTAACACTACAATCATCTGGCAGGCGATCAACAGAAATTTCTCTTGTTATTCGACAGACAATGGAGGCAAGCATATTAACACATTTAATGCCACGCTCACAGGTTGGTTCTGTTTAGTCACGTGTCCTTTAAAAAAACTTCAGATTTTTTATATGATATCAGGGCCAACTTCCAATGCTTGTTATACTTTTTTGCAGATTGATATATATGTCCAAGTTCTTCAAGCTGATGGCGGTAGGTGTTCTTCTTTCCTACTTTCTGACTGTTGAAGTTGTCTCCAGGCTGTATTTACTCTCAGAACCCCTCTATTATTTATTCTGGAACAAAGCTTTTTTTTTTTGTTGTCCTAAGATGAGGTCAAGCAAGGGCATTTTTTTCCGTGGGCTGAGTAAATCTAGATGTATGCTTTTTTGCATGATGAGACAAGCTGGAGAATGTATACCACTTATGATGTGTGCCTTCCCTTAGCTACATTACCCAATATACAACAACAACAACAACAACAACATACAACCTTTCGGGAGGCCGTGTCGTATCGTGGATTATTTAAGTGAGAGAAAAAACTAGGGCTAGAAATTTACGATCGTTTACCCAAGCAAACAGTGATAGTCTTTCAGTCCCAAGCAAGTTGGGGTAGGCTAGAGTTGAAACCCACCAAGAGCCCCAAGTCACGGTTGAGTCACTTCAATAGCTGCTTTTCAAGTACTCCTATTCAAACATAGATCTCTAGGTATATCCCAAGCTTTCAAATCTCTTTTTATTGTCTCTCCCATGTCAATTTCGGTCTTTCCCTACCTCTCCTCATATTATTAGCTTGGCTTAGGACTCCACAATGCACTGGTGCCTCTAGATGTCTCCTTTGGACATGGCCAAACCATCTCAACCGATGTTGGACAAGCTTTTCTTCAATTGGTGCTACCTCTAGGCGATCACGTATATCATCGTTCTGAACTCAGTCCATTCTTGTGTGACCGTAAATCCATCGCAACATACGCATTTCTGCAACACTCAGTTGTTGAACACGTCGAATCTTTGTAGGCCAATATTCTGCTCCATACAACATGGCCGGTCTAATCGCCGTTCTATAGAACTTGTCTTTTAGCTTTTGTGGTACCCTCTTGTCACAGAGAATGCCAGAAGCTTGTCGCCACTTGATCCACCCCGCTTTGATTCTATGGCTAACGTCCGCATCAATATCTCCATCTCTTTGTGCATCGATCCCAGATACCGAAAGGTATCCTTCTTAGTCACTACTTGACCTTCCAAACTCACATCTCTCTCCTCCTGTACTACTCCGCCAAAGTCACATCTCATGTATTCGGTTTTAGTTCTGTTCAATCTAAAACCTTTAGACTCAAGGGTCTGCTGCCATAACTCTAGTTTCCTATTTACTTTCGCCTGGCTTTCGTCCACTAACACTACATCACCAGCAACAACATACACCAAGGGATATCCCCTTGTATGTTCCTGGTAACCTCATCCATTACCAAGCCAAAGAGATACGGGCTTAAGGCTGACCCTTGATGAAGTCCAATTTTAATCGGTACTCATGCTATGGCATATTATTCTTTTGTTTCTTGGAAATAATTTAACCATAGTTTTTGCTTCAAAAATTATTATCTTCTTGACCATGACCATGTGTACAACAGGAACAAGGTCAGCTTGCATCAATGCTGCAACACTAGCTCTTGCAGATGCTGGGATTCCAATGCGAGACATTGTCACATCTTGTAGTGCTGGCTATCTGTGTTCTACTCCTTTGCTTGGTAAGACACCTACCTAATTTTCATATCTTTAATAGTAATCTTATGGTATAAATAAAATTCAAATAATTCTAATGTACTATGCCAGACCTGAATTACCTCGAAGACAGTGCTGGGGGTTCCGATGTCACCGTTGGCATTCTTGCAAAGATGGACAAAGTGACTTTGCTTCAGGTAGTAGAAAGATCATGAATCACATTCTTGCCTCCTCAAGATTCTGTCTCTAGGCCCAATCAAATTATATATGTTTTATTGCATTTTAATACCTACAATACAATGTTATTTCTTCTTAAACAATGTTATTGCAAATAGTTGAGTGGCTGAAATTAAATTATTTTTTTAATGTCTTGTGGTATGTCTCGCTGACTAGAGGCTCATGTTGGGTTTCAACTCTAGCCTACTCCAACTTGCTTGGGACTAAAAGGCTTTGTTGTTGTTGTTGTTGTTGTTGTCAGTTTTTCTCTCCTGTGAAATACATCTTTTGTGTTTGATTACTGCATAGTATTATTCTTTTGTTAGCATCGGAAGGAAGCAACATAAAAAGTACTTTTTCAGATGGATGCAAAATTACCGATGGATACATTTGAAAATGTAATGGGGCTTGCAATAGAAGGGTGCAAAGCAATTGCAAGTTACATCCGAGAGGTAAACAACTTTTTGTTGATATTCCATTATTCTTGCCTTCATTTTATTAGTTCTTTTTCTGTTTACATTGACTTCTACCAGTCATTGACCTTTGGAACTTCTGGGTTGTTGACGATCGTTCTGAAACAGGTGCTATTGGAGAACACAAAGAAGCTTGAGTGTCAGCGTGGTTTACCTTAGGAGGTGCATCCCATTTGCCCAGTTTGTTTACACTTGAAGCCTTGACTAGTCTGGGTAAAACTAAAATGGTTTATCTCCGTACTCGGCAGTGCATGCAGATTAATGACCTGAACTTGTCGAAGATTGCTGACCCAACAATGGACATCACACAGCCATTAAAATGTCTTACTGGTTGTGGATGGATGGCTTTTGTGCATCGTATTGCAGTGCACAGGAACTTCCTTGGCTTGCTTGAACTTCCAAGGGAGTATGTGCAAGTCATCAGAAGTTGTTCAAGGCAGCTTGTCATCATCAGAAATACAAGATATGCTTCCATGTTTAAAATTATGAGGAACCTGGAATTGTAATACTCAGTAATTCCTGTAAACTGATATAAATTGAGGGTGACATTGTACTGCTAATCCTCCGTAAGGTGTTATTGGAATTTTGTGACAGTTCCTGTAAACTGGTATTTTTTTTTAAAAAAAGGAGAAGGTCCAGTGGGGCTCCTGCTCAGCCCCAAATCAAGGCGCCCCCAAAATCCCTCGGCTTTGTTCGCTTCTCTTATAATCTATTTTTTCAGTTTGATTCTTTAGCTGGAACAGTGTTTTTCTCTCACAACAAATCAGTCGGAACAGTGTTTCGACTTTTTTTCAGCGAAGCGAACGGGGCATTTGGTAAAGCATTTGCGGGCAATGCTACAGTGCTGCCTAGTTTTATTGCATTTGCTTTGAAACCCACCCCTCCACTCCCACACACCGACAGGGGGCACCCTACTCAGACAAGTAGGGGGCTTGTTTTACGGCGTACTCTCTCCGTTTCAAATTATAGTTTGTTTTGACTTTTTTGACCCGATCATTCGTCTTATTCGAAAAATTTGTACCAACATAGTTAAATTTAAATTATTCTTGAAGAACTTTTATTAATAAAGCAAGCCGCAAAAAAAAAAGTGATATTGTGCATAAATTTTTGAATAAGATGAAAAAAAATCAAACGAACTATAATTTGGAACGAATTTAGTATTATTGAAGTTGCTTTTTTCAACCCTTCTATGTACATAAAGTTTTGCCATGTGATTTTTTTAACAAAAATTGTTGATTTTGTCCCTTGACAATTTATATTTTAGCACTTGACCTCTCTTATACGTAATTTCTAGCTCCGTCTTGCTTGTTCCCAAGCAAAGTTGCATAACTCTTGAATCCAGCAACTGAAGCATATACTGAGGTCTGAGGTGCACAGACTTGGGACTCGGAAGTTGTGTAGGATATTTTTTAGCTTGAGATGTAGAAGAGTCGACCATACAGCCAAAAAAAACAAGGAAAACACAAGCTTAAGAACACATCATCAGCTCAGCTCAAGGGGATAATCTCTGTATCTCGCTGTGTTTTTTTGGCTCCTGGTCTTGTCTCTTCATTTTACCTTCTAGCATCCCTCTCTTTCCAAATCCCAAATCTCCTAGGCAAGTTTCGCCTCTTCATTTTACTTTCTAGCACCCCTCTCTTTCCAAATCTCCTAGGTTAGTATGAAGCTGCTCCATTGGCTGGTGGATGGTAAATTGACACCGTCCAGAGGCACAAAGGATGCCAACTTGCCAAGTTCATTAGCTGTAGCACAGTCCAAAGTCAGTTTTGGAAGGCTGAGGACATGTTTCTGATCTAATTACAATAGCTGTTGAATTTGAAAGCTTGGATAACAAGTAACAACCCCACAGTTCAAAAGAGGATGAGTGAGAGGTCGTCTTTTAGTCACTGTCAACCGTTCACGGTTCACCCTTTAAAAGAATGTTCAGTCCAAATATGATATGTGACCTCTAACTAGAGTTTTGATGAACACTGCTTTTAGTTGACCATCAGAATAAAGGGGCAGACCCAGTGCCGGAGGCTCCCACATGAGTGGGGTCTGGGGAAGGGATAAACCGAGACAATCCTTTCCCCCGCAAAATCTATGAAGAGGTCGTTTCAAACCCACGACCTGGTGACTCAGTGAGACAGCTCTCACCAGTCACCACTGCACCAGGCCTGCCCTTCTTAGTTGACCACCAGAATAAAAAATACAAAAAATACATCCAAATCACAAAGTAAATGCCTTTAAAGTATGACCGAACTGATTACAGAACCGAGCTTCTAGCAATTAGATACTCCGAACTCGTGTAGTTCATCACAGTAAGTGAATAACACTGCAGTGCAGATGACAAACCCGATCAAGTGGTCTTCTTCTTCTTCTTTGACTTAAGCATCACAAGACCCACAAAGACGCTCAGGAATGAAAGGAGAACTACGCCGGCCAGCACTGGTATCAAAATCGCATACTCTTGAGGCAGGAAGTACTTGTGCGCAAAGTGATCGCTGTCAACGAATGGCTAGGGTGGGAACAAGAGGAACAAAATAACCATTCAGAAATAAAGTCATAATAGTTCTGCTTGAACTGAAACTGAAAAAAGCTTAGAAATCACTAACCAAAATGATGACCCAGAATGTATAGTATGTAAATATGGATAAGCTTGTCAGAGTCAGTAGAAAACCGACTACCTTATCACCCAGTTCCATTTGTCTGAAAGTAGTAGATGAAAAACCTTATCAGATGAATGATTATCACAATCCAAAGAAGAAAAAAATTGTTCTATGATGGGCTCATAATCTGAACTGCAAATATTCTTGAATGCTTGTTCCCTTTGATTTTAAAAGTACGTTCTAGGAGGGGATTCGCTTGCTGTTTCCATAAAAAAAACAACAATCTGAGTTTCAACAAAATTGCCACATAGCCTAAACTGAATGAACTTTTATCAAGAGAGATGAGCCCCCAATCCACTGTTTTACCAATATGCAATGTGCCATGTCATAAAGTGCCTAAATCCACTGTTTTACCAATGTGCAATGTGCCATGTCACAAATGCAAGAGAAACAAACAAGAAAATAACAGTTAAAACAGAAAAATAATAGTTTACTAGCACTCGTATACTGCAATGTGCCATGTCATAAAGTGCCTAAATCCCAAATTTAGGCATTGCACATCTGGATATGCTGCAGTTCCTATTGTACTGCATATCTGTGCAAAGTGATATAAAGATTACAATAGTGATGCCACTACACCAGATTGCTACAACTGCAAGCATCAAACACAACAACTAGAAATTTCTATTATGACGGAGCAGGAAACAGTACTATCACTGGAAAACCAAACTCCCATATTAGAAAATCCAAGCATTGTTTTACTTCCTGTTTATTTTGTTGTAAAAGAGTATGTTAGCAGCTAACATGATATGATACAGTATTTTCAGGTAAGTAACATAAATTCTCAAATAACAAATTGGAATGGGCATCCTATGCAGAAGTTGAAAGCCTAGAGGTCGAGGATGTCAGCAGTTCTAAAAGTAGGAAATCAAACGAGGGAACACTATGCTGATACACTTTTTTGGACTGTTTACTATACCCCACTTACCCAGTATTGAAGACAATTACATCACTTTACACAACTTTATACAGATCCTTAAGCAAAATGTCTGTCCTGGTAGCTGCTCAGTTTTACTATACTGATTTGTAAAAGTGGTTCATGAGCTCAGACTACACACATCTCCCTTCTTTACATGCCTTAAGTACAAAGTGTTGGTTGCTTATTTGTACATAACTGAGTTGGCTACTCGAACAGCAAAAAAAACCCTGAGTTGTTTTCTTTTATTCAGTATGGCAGGTATACTACTACAATGAACATTTTATTTTGTTCCAGTGACTTAAAAGTAGAACTATAGGAATAACTGAGTGATACCAAGTGCAATTCATCTTGGCTGCACAGCATTTTCTGTTTACATTACTTGCACATGTTATTAGCTTAAAGTTCAGGAGTTGTTTCCCACATATTGAAATAATTTCTAAATTTTGTCTAATATCACAATAGCTCCGATGGCAGCGAAACAACACTCAAGTTATAAAAGTCAAGTCAAGAACCAAATGCGAAATGTTTCTGTACCATTTTTTTAACGTAAAAATTTTGTTTCTGAACCATATCAGCTGCAATACTAGCGCTAACAGAACCACTTGTTTTCTAATAATGGTAATGATCATAAGAGGCCATAAATGTGGCAACATCTTACGTGCATGCAGGTGCCTCAGCTGTTGGGGAGCCTGCTAAACTTCCTGGGAGGCTTTCGGCTCAATTCAGAAAAGGGAATGGCATATACCATACATCACAGAGCGGATCTAGTAAGCGGAAGGGACATGGGTGGTGTAAACCCGATAATTTTTGCAAAAGTTAGAAGCATCAAATCGCCATATAGCTTGAGGTTAGAATTTGGGCAAGGGAAGATGAGGAGGAAGGAAGAAGAAGATGACATGTGGGGAGATCGCATGTCGCACCTATCGTGGAGGCGGGGAGAGAGCCCAACTAGGCCCGCTGGGAAGAGGACATCTTCGACCGTTATCGCTTGCAAAGGTGCGGGCCCCTGGTGGGTGTTCATACATATTCGTAAAGAAGAATTGTAATGGCATGCTTCAAAATAGGCGAATAGTAATGGCGTTTCTCCAAACATCAAAAATTATAATGACATGAATCCAAATAACCCTTTTTTTTTGCCATCTCGCACCGGCCCACCACCTCCCTCGTTCATCGCTCTCCCACATGCGTATCATCGGCCAGCTGCCAGTGCCCGGGCCATGCACCTGCCTCAAGTCTCGACCTTTAACGGGTCCCTCTTCCTAGATCGAGCCTCCCTCTTCCTAGATCGGGTCCTAGTTAACCTACTCTACGCCCACCACCTCCCGCCGCCTCCCTCGCGATAGGTGTTGAGGCCCTCTTCTCTTCTCTTGGCCGAAAAGAGCGCCCGCCGTGTATTCCCACACCCTTCTCTCTCCCTCAAAGATGTCAAGTATTCAAATCGAGTTCCCAAATTCTAACCTCAAGCTATATGGCTATTTGATGCCTACTAACTTCTAACTTTTTGCAAAAATTATCGGGTTTACACCACCCATGTCCCTTCCGCTTACTAGATCCGCCCTGTGATGTATGTCTTTGTATATGCCGATTCCTTTTTCTCGAATTGAGAATAAAGCCTCCAATGTTGTAGTTTAAACTCTACACTACTAAATTGAGATGGAACTGAAAGAAAGGTGTGCATTTTACACGTAAGATGTTGATTTCATCATTTATGCTTTCCTCTTATGATCATTACCATTATTAGAAAACAAGTGGTTCTGTTAGCGCAGATTATTAAATTTATGGTATAGAAACAAAATTTTTACGTTAAAAAAATGGTACAGAAACAAAATTTCGCATTTGGACTTCTTGATTTCTTTATAACTTGAGTGTTGTTTCGCTGCTTATGGAAAAGGGGAGAAACAGAGAACGCTATAGTGATATTGGCAGACAAGCTACATAT